GCAGCCATGGTCAGGGCTCCGAGAAATGGTTTAGTAAAGTTTTCAGTTTTCAGTTCAGCTTTTCTTGCAACTTGTTTGTTTTTTGTTTGACTCTAACTGATTACAATCCCGTGCAGTTCAATAGTTTGAGCACACACTTGGAAGAAAGCTCGCGTTTGGGCCACAATTTGGTAAGTCATCCGTTCTGCATGAGACCAGACCCAAATAGACTCGCCATAGACCGTAGACATCCGTAGACCTGGTGAACGACATGGTGAAGAGTCGGTGGACGGTATGTTCTACTCTGAGGAACTGATGGAATGGCCAGAAAATAGTTGTAGTTAAAAGCCGGGCCCATCAGGAATTATAAGATCAAACCAGCAGGAGCGGGGGTACACATCGGTGATGGATGCTTCCCTCTTTGATTCATAGCTTCATGGGACAGAGTAGCATCACCCCTCTCCACATCATTCAACAAGTGTCCCATATAGTGAGCAAAACCCCGTTCCAGTGCGTTGTTCGGCGCTCTGTGGGAGCCCCACGAGTTCACCACGGGTCATCCACGAACCGCCTCGACCAGGTGACTCGGTGCCCGTCACTGAGGTTGACCATGTCGCGGTGCGAACGGCTGAAACACTGCCCGTCGTGAGGCAGACAGAACACCGCCGCGAGCGGCACGCCTTCGGGCAGCGAAGCAGATTCATCATGAATCCTTGAAGCTGTCGTGGAGCATTCTGTCGTGCTTTGCTCCCCATCCGGCTGGCTTTTGACTGCCGCTGATTCAAAACACGTGTGAAGCTCGATTTTCAAGAGCTCGGAGAAAAGGCGCTGGCGGCTACGCTGACGGTGGGTTTTGCCTGCCACCTGTGCCGCTTCCCAGGCTCTAAACGGACGAAGTTTTGGGATGAACACAATGGATAATATTGTTATTTGTAAATGTAGGCCATTTGGAATGGGCTCGTCCCATTCCCAATCCCATAGATAGTTGGACTGGACTACATTATAAACCAGCTGCATTTGTTCCCCAAAACGCCGCGCTGTTTTTTTGTTTGTTCTGGGAATGATTCATAGGCAATTCACGGCAGGCGCAGCACCTCCCCCACCACTGGTGAATGGTCCGGCAACCGTGCGGGGGTAGAGGTCGTAGGCCGGGAAGTACCGGCTCTGGAGCACCGAAGGGGACGCACCGGTCAGTCGCAACGTTTCCGTCACCTGCCAGGTGGGAGAGGCAGGCAAGGGCTGGTGCGAGGCATGGATTGCAAAGGAATGTGTACTAGAATAGGGAGACCTTCCAAAGACCCCCCGGAAGAAGGAAAATAGCGATCCAACCAGATTCAACCAGCGAACCGAATCGGTTCGTTAGGACTGGAGCCCAAATGGGTCCAATAATCAACAAACAGCAGATTTTGTTGTATTCATGAGGCTCCGAGATAGTTCAGCAATGTTTGACTCCAACGTCTCAAGCTGAATGGTTTGAAACAACTGAGATGCCTTTAAAGGTAGAATTCAAAGATTTGAAGCCTGGGCATGCTCGGTCATCATTTTTGCCTCAGGGGCACTCATCGCACTCATCTTCAGGGAGAAGCATCGATCGAGCGTCCGAGAAAACAATTAGAGAAGATCTGTCAACGTTTCTTGCTCGCCTAAGATCTGCAAGGATCTGTCAACGTGTCTTGCTTGCCCAAGATCTGCAAGGTGATGTGCAAAGTGATCTGCAAGGTGATTCTGGGAGCCGACCTCCCTTCTACTATGGACCCAGCACGATCGTTCTGAACCACTGTGACGGGGTGACGGGCATGAACGTGGTGCAACTAGCACCATTCATCAGCACCCCTCCGTTTGGACATGAAATGCTTGTGAGTTTTTCCTGCACCGGGGATGTGCCCCCGTTCTTGGCCATGGCTCATGTGCACCGTGGCTCCTCCATTTGCCCATCTCCTTTGTGGGTCCGATCTCATCCACCGGGGCGTTGCACCGGGGTGTGTTTCGATCCGCCGAGGCTATGCGGAGCTCGCTCCGCTCATGGGACTGAAGACTGTGACCCTGAGGGACTTCTGGCAGAAGGTGCGGGACGAAGACGTGCGAAAGCCGGCTGAAATCGGGGTGTTTTTAGCTACCCACTCAGCGGGGACGTCCTGGGATTCCCTATACTCAAAAGGAACGAACGCCTTCCTTTTCGATGGAAACTGGGGGAGCCAGTTCAGCCGTTTGGTAAATTAAACAAAATAGTATATTATCTCAAAATCGTATGGTATATGTATTTAAAATGTTTTTTGTGTGCCAAAAGAGTGCAAGTTGCTGCGTCACGTTGTCTCATGCGGCGGGTGCGGTGCAGCAACTGTGCTCAACTTCCACAAACAAGAGTTCACCAAGCTGAAGTCACCAGTTCACAGCCGTGTACCCTTTCCGGACACATGAAATGGTGAAAGGAAGACTCTTCAATTCAGGCAACTCTTGTAACACTCACCCACTGCATCCAGCTTCATTCAAAAGGAACTGCACTTCCTCTTTCACTGAGGTCAACCCTTGTTGTGTTGAACCGGGGTCTCGGACTTGTCACACCAACCGGAAGTTCGGACTCGTGAGCGGCGCTTGGACATGCCATGCCTATAGGAACGTTTCGAGCACGTTCCAACCGGGGGTTCGGGAAAAACACCAAAGGAGGACGGGGGGGGCGCCCGCAGGTTCTTCTTTCTTTGTTTGGGGGCAAACCGTGTTTGTCAAAACCAAAAAAGAGGCGAAGACAACATGGATGTTTGATTTGTGATAATGTTGATGCATGTGTTGTGGAATTCTCATTGCTCCAAGTCCACATGGCACAAGCTGGTCCGGTGCGCATAGGTGAAGGAGGATGCGGGAAATCCCATGGCACCCTTGGAGCCTTTGCTTCAACAAGGTGCGCGACACGGCACAGGCGTCACGCGGAATTCAACGCGCCGCCCATCGTGATTCCCATAGAATGTGATTATCAGACCCTAGGGATCCAAGTACCTTCTCACAAGGTACTTGGACCCTCCAAACCTACATAACAGCGCCTCCAATCACCTTCTGAGAAGGTACTTGGATCCCTAGGGAGACTTGGGGTGTGTTAGGAGAGTTCACAAGGGATCCTGTTTTCTTAACCCGTGACCCTGGTCTTTCATTGGAGGAGGCTCCTCTTCTTGATGTTGTTTTTTT